CTTACAGCACATAGTATTCCTAAGCGGTCACCCATCTAAGTGCTCACCAGACTCGACGTTGCTTAACTTCGGTGATCGTACGGGAACCGATGTTTCAGCGTGATATGGCTATGAAGAACATCTGAATTATTAAAAAAATGTTAAGTTGCCTATTCGTCTTCTTTCACTTGCCGTATCCCTTCAGGATCATGGCTCTCCACAACTTTCTAGCCTTTGAGTTCTTAGTAAAGTTTGTCTTTTTACTCTCCCTTCCACTCCCTGTTTTGCCATCAAGCTGCTTAGGAAGGTTGCTCGCTGTTTCCTACTGTCTCTCTTGCCTTCTTGTGAGTGTCCGATTTTATAAGCCTTCTTTCCGCATTATGTGTCCCAGAAATTTCAATTGTATTTTTCTGATTCTAAGTGTGTCTTTTTTGTTTCAATTATCTTAAAACTTCCTCATTGCTCACATGCATTGTCCATGGTATTCTCAACATCTTTCAGTAGAACCACATGTCAAGTTTCCTCTTTATTTGTGAGAAGATTGTCTAGCATCCATCGCTATATAGGATGATTGATATTGCATAGCAGGTGAGCATTTGTTGTTTGTAATGAAGTTTTCCTGTTTCTTTATGCATTGCTTAACTTTTAGAAGATACCTTTTGCTTTTCAAATACGCCTTCGGTTTTCGGTGTCACATTTTCCGTCATCAGTTAAAACACTTCTTAGAGTACTAACATGTAAATAATATAGTAATATTATTCAATTATATGCGGTATTGTGTTAATCAAATATATATTTCTATAGCTTATATTTTGATATTATATCTTAAGATTGTCTCAATTAAAACCTGACCTCCACAAGACAAGTTATAAATATTTTTTCGATAAATATCATATGCTGAAATGCAAACGATATATTTTCATATAACTATATCTAGAAATTTTAACCATTTCGTTTGATTAGTACCAACTTCATTGTGAAAATATTGACTTGCTTAATAAAATCTCACAGTATATTATCTTCTGTTGTTTTTCTCTTTTTCCTCAGTAAAATTAATTTTATTAACCATTTTTTATAGTACAATTGAAAAGCCGACCCGGTGTTGTCTGTATAGTATGCCATCAAAATAATACTAGTAATGTATACATTTAGACGATATTAATAATATATTTAAACGCGACGCCATTAAATTTGTTATAACAATATCCATTAAAATTTAATTTAATTTCTCGTCACTATTTAAATTAATATCTAAAGAAATGAATCGTTAACTCTTAAATCATTCATGTGTATCCGGCTTAAACTCCAAAACTACAATATTTTAAACCCTTAAAAGTATATTTTCATTTATCATGATCCAAGGTAGGTATTGATAAACAATTTATTTCTGTATTCTTTATAGAAGAGAAAATATTTGTATATTAGTGCATTTTTTCATTTTAATTCAGTTAATCTTTTTAAGAGATTCTTTTAATATTGTTCTAATCGATAAAATGGGAAAATTTGTTTTCGTAAAGAGAGCCTATTGTCTTTCCTGAAAAAATGTTTGTAATTTTAAAACCAATTAATCTTTTATTAAATCAAATGATTGTCAAATCTTATCATCTTTAATTTAATTTTTTGCCACTGTTTATTTAAAAAAAATAATTGAATAACTTAACGCTTATGCATATAAATAAATAGAAACCTGTTTAATGTTTTTGCTAAAAGTTTAGCGTCTTAATATTTGCTTTTTTATTTAAAATAATTTATTAATAATAATTTGTAAAAACCGTCCTTTACCTTTATTAAATAAAAAGTATGGAATATTTTACAATACAATACATTCATTATTCATTCTTTATTAATTTTGTTACTGTTTATTTAAAAATAATTGAATGACATCGGATTTAAATTGGAAACGCTAAAATATTGATGCATTTTTTGCTAAGTCTTCTAATATAATTACATTTGTTTTAAATTATAGATATTTTCGCTTATATAAAGAGTACAGTAATATATTTTTTATCAAAATCTTTGTATAACAAATCAGAATATCTGTAATTTTGAGAGTCTAAATGTTGTAGTTTGGAGTTTAAACTGAACAAACATATCAACGGACGAATGCCTTTTATTATAGAAAAGAACATTGTAATATTTGTCTCGTTTGATGAGTAAATCTCTGTTTTGTGCCAGTAAAATGTTATGTTTTTTTTTTCGTATCTTTTACATTCGTCTCCTGCTACCCGCCTTTCAGTGGGGTTACTTTAAAATTACCAATGAAATAAACAATTTTCTTCAATGCTCCATCTTTTTTAAGGCACAGTCAACAGTCACATTTAAATAGGATCTCACTTATGCACCACTGGACGAGCAACCGATAATAGACCGTTGTCTCACAAACGAGAACTCGCTATAGAGGGATGCAAAAGTAGGTATACATTAATTAAAAACAATGTATTTTTTTTCTTATTGATTATACTATATCAATAAAACATCAATAATTTTGGGAACTTCGTAGTGTAATGGTTAACCAGCGTGTCTCGTTCGATCTATTACAACTGAATAGTAAGTTCGATCCTCACTGGATGCTCCATATTTTAGTCCCTGTGTCACATCTAAGTTACGTTTATCATCATATTCATAATAAACATAGTCTGCTTTTCCTTTTATATTATTTGAGTTTCCAAAAGTGGCTCAACTCGTTTTGGCGCAATTTCTGTTTCTGTAAACGATTGACCAATGGAGTTGCTTGCTTCGATTTTCGCCATTTCTATTGGTTGAAGCTTTTAGGTACGTAGGCGTACGTTTTGGACTCTGCTTTTGTTAGGTTGGAAAGGTAAGGATAATGGATGAGTCCACAATATCAATCCCTCAAATGTTTAAACTGTTTGCCCCTCGTCATTCCTACACTCTTGTTTATCTGCAAAATATTTATTATTTAAAAAATAAAAATTATAATGAATGTATTATAACAAAAATTATGAAAATAAAAATGATTTTAATGAATTAAATGAATTCTATTATTAAATGAATCCTAAAACCACTATTATAATATTGGTAATACTTACTGTATACTTACTTTTGCAGACCACTGTATATGACGCTCCACGTCTTCCTACATTATACTAAAATCAGTTTTATGCGTGTCTCTCAGATGTAAGCGTGCATCTATTTAATGTGCATAATCTTGACTTAGGTTGACTTAGCTGGATCGGAGTAATATTTTTTTTTATCTTAGGACAAATCAAGTCATTATTTCCAGCTATCTCAGTGGTTGAACGTGTCAGGAAGCAATAATAAAAATCAATACTTTGCTCATTTGTTCCGAATGAAACGTACGGATATCAAGTGGCACTTCGTTACTTCAATACTCCAGTATTCTTCTCAGTATTTTAACTAATGCTGATATTTGGATGGTTTCAGTCCTTTCCAAGACTTCCAATTCCACCAACTTTTTTACTAGGCTCTTCAGCTCTGATGATGAGTACAACTATCATTTTATTTTCAACGTGTTTTTTCATTTTTAATTCACTGGCAAAATCTAGATTTTTTTCAGGCCTTTCGTTTTCTTACAATTTGATTCGTCGTTTCGCTGAAAAAGCGACAGCCAAAAACATCTTTTTTTTATCTGAACTGCACGATTCGTTTGAATTTAAAATATGTCATTCTTTAGAAGAGAACCTGGGCTGATCAAATCTCAGTTTGCACAGTTCCAAGTGGACCACTTTTCCCAACTAGGAATATATATTTCGTACTTTTTCCGAGACAATATAATTAACGTTCTTAACGCAGTTTGAATTTACTGTTTCCTGTGCTTTACCTTGGCCTTTAAATGATTTGGATTTATGAAAATATTCGAGATCGTCATTAAGAGTGATTTTGTGGTTTTATTCAAGTGTCCACTGCGCAACCATGTCCATTTTGTTTCAGTTGTAATTACTTTTGTCTCTTGAAATGTGTATGCTGTTAATTTCACCTCCATTTCTCGTTTTAAATTCTCCTATACTATGTTATTTTTTCTTGTCAGTATTATTGCAATGTTTTTTCGTTTTTATTACACCATTTTATTGTTTATACCTTGTTTTATTCTCTTCTCCCTTGATGGCTAAGTCGGTGCGTGAATCGATACTGATAGGTTCTCTCATTCCCCCTTTCTTTTTTACATATTTACACCAATGTTTTTTTTAAATACTTTCACCCCCAAATAGGGCAATAAAGCCACTAAGACGCAAGGTGTTACTGAGTAAGAAAGATGAAAAAAAAAACGTTACAATGAAGAAAGATGATGATTGCTATTACATTTAAATTGTTGTAGATTGTATATAACAGGAAAGCAAGAAGCTGGAAGAGAGTTCCATAGGTAAGAAGTACGAGGGAAGAAACTATTAGAGCATAGTTAAACTAAGTAATTTAAACAGTAAAATTATGAGACCTAACTGCCAATCTAGTACTACGACTTGTTGCGGTCATTACATCTAGTACAACTAAAACAGTGACAACCAAAAATTTCACATATAAATGACGAACAAATAAACAAACATTTTTGTTTAAAATAAAAGCAATGTATTTTCACAAAAGTTACAATATTTGGAAACAGTGGCTAAAGTGCGAGTGTGCATTTGTGTGAGTGCTTGTAAGTGATTGGCAGTTGCATGTGTCTGTATGTGTGTATGATAGTTCAGCCTCTGGAGTGAAAAATATTACCAGCGAGGACAAGTCTCGTGTTGGTGTTGTAAGTTGAAATGAGGAAAGAGAAAGAAGAAAATACTTTTCCTTTTTTTATAGTTCTTAAACCTCACCTAACGGCGTCTAGGAATATCAAGTGGAGGTAATCCTCGAGTGCAAAGTTTTATTCTTTGTCATTAAGTTTTGTATTCGAGTTTCTAAATGGTTTTCTTTCTCAGATTATGAGTCCCGAATAGTTCATAAGAGATAATTTTCAAGTATTTATTGATTTATGTTTAAAACTTAAAATCTATAATTTAATTTCATTATTTTCTTTGTTTCTTTTAGGGGATTTTTGTTGTATTAAATAACCTAACATAAATTTGCGAAATTTGCGTATATGCAAAGCAAAATATTTAATTTATTAAATCTTTTTCTTGTAATTTTATTTTTGACATTTTCATGTAATTTTATTTTTGACAT